CTACACTTAAATACAGAGCAGATATCTATTGCTCTGAAGATGTAGGTGTTTGATAAAAATGCATTTTGTTTAAATAAAAAGACCAGCAATTGTCTAGTGTAGGAATTAGGAAAAACTGTTTTCCAAACATTTACTCTGTTTGTGTGGAATAAATTAACATGAATTTATTACCTTCACTTACTGGTTTTAAACAACTTTCATCTCTTTTTGCAGAACATTGTCACCATTTTGACTCAGATTTTAGTTAAGGAGTAATTTTATTTCATTTTGTGAGTAATGTGTTTGTGTTTGTGTTTTAGTTTAATGTTTCCTCTTTTTAAATTAACAATTTTAAGTTGAAAGAAATAATCTCCTTAAATACATCAAATTAGCCCTTTTAGTTTATAGTCAAGTTGAAAGCTTCAAACTTTAGTTTTCTTTTTCTGGTTCAGCTTGTGTTATTTATTTGGTGGGACAGACTGTTTGTTTTGGAGCAAAATGTTGTTTTTGTTTTTGAGTAAATGTATGGAGCTCTGATAGTGCCAAAAAAAAGACTGAGTATACATTTTGGTGATCTTAAAAAAAAAAAAAGAAACCGTAAGTTTTTTCAAATTTTGAAAAAAAAAAAAAAAAAAAAAAAAAATCTCAAAGAACAAATAAACAAACAAAAGTCATTCAGTCATTCAGTCATTGTTTTATTATAATTAGATAAAAAAAAAATTTGGATGTTAGAGAAAAACTTAGACATGTAATTGTTAGGTTCTGTGTTTTGAGTTTGAGTTTCTTTCTGTCTAGTCCTGTTTTCCCCTGAGTCTCTGTGCTGTCTTGATTGATCCCAGCTGTGTCTCGTTCCTGTGATTACCCTCCCAGTGTATTTAGTCCCACCTGTTGTCTGTGTTCCTGGTCGGATCCTCTTCTAACGTCATACCTCTTACGTGTAGCGTCTGCCGTCAAGCTCTCCAGTCGCACTGTTTTCAAGTCCTGGTTAGCCTTAGCTCCTGTATTGAGTCACCTTGTTGTCAGTTGCTACCGGTTATTAGCTGTGTGCTATTGCTCCTGCCATGCTGCCTGACTGGACTGTTTTTGAGCAACATTCATCATTAAATTCATCATCATCATCTTCTTCTGGGTCTCCTGCATTCATTCTCACCACCACCAACCACATCCCATGACAGTAATAGGTTGATTAGGTTTAGTAAATAAAAATACAGCTTGCCTTTGCCTACTTGTGCCAAAGACAAAACACTTGGATATATACATTTATTAAACTAAAACATCTATAAATGTGCTTTAATTTACCTTAGCTGCATCAATCTTTGTATGATTTAGATCATACAATTATTGTCCACAGCAGGTTTTATTGTTTCCAAATAATTTGTAGTCTTACTTATATTTCTAAAGTATTTATACAGTGTATTCTGCAAAACAAAAAATATTAGGGAGGGACAAAAAGAAAATCCAAATTATTTTATGCTCTATTCTAATAAAATAGAGCATATTATTTTGATATCACTATTATTGAAATAGTTTGTAATTGCTGAAAAAAAAAAAAAACTAAATTACATTTGGGAATGTTATTTTAAAAACATACTTCAGCAAACCTTGAGGAGATTAATGTTACATGACAACATTTTCTTGCGTGAAACCCCCGGATCATGCCACCCTGGTTGGACAGCCACATCAAAAATCTCACTGCAATAAGGCTTTTCTCTCGTTGGGTGTGTGCTGCTCTGTGATGCAACTCTGCAAGGATAAAGAGAATATATAGACGTAGGTTGTTGGGTTGATTTTATTGTTCATGTTGTTTCAATATTAGCCTTTAACAGCCATCACAATAAGAGTTCCTACAGCAGTGACTCATACAGAGCACAGGATGGGGTTCACAGGATGCATTTTAAACTAGTACATTAAATAAAAGGCATTTATTCAGAATTTGCCCACATCTCTCCCCTCAAAGCTGTAACCTACCTGCATGCTGGAGCAAATATGTTTGTGAATGTAGCGTTTACTGTCTGAGTGGGAAAGCTTTGCAGAAAAAGAGATCCATTTACCACCCACTGATAAAATGCTGCTGATTTTCAGCTGTTCACTTCCATAAAACACAATTTAAATCCTCAGCAACAGGCGCTTCAACTCTAACCCGATGGTATTTATCATTCATATGAAACATGGATTTATTCCGGCACAGACGAAAAAAAAAGAAAAAAAAAGACCCTGACTGGCAATTTTTCCGTCCATATGCTAATCTTGTAAAAAGTTCACAGAGGCTGCCGACATCACAACACCTACTCTTTCTCTTTCTTTTCAGTGGCGCTCTTGTTCTTTCCAGATCTAGACACACAAAGCAACGAGACGTTCCTGGTTGTTCAGAGTGTTATCTGCTGAGGGATGAACACGGCAGGGAGGATAAGTGGCACAGAAAGTTCAACTGAGGAGGAGGTCAGGTCTGTAGAGAGAAAGAGAGAGAGAGAGAGAGAGAGGAGGCTTAAATAGATTTAATGAGAGCAAATATTAAGAAAAATCACGTTCCTTCAAAGTGAGCATAAAAAATTATTGTCAAAATTGTCAGCTCAAAAATATATCATTACAAAAACAGCGACTTTTTTTCTACTTACTCTAACATAAGCTAAACGTTTTACTTGTTTAATCAGATTAAACAAGTAATCAACTTTTTTTTTCTTTGTAGAAATGGGATTGTAGATCCCAAACTTCAAGTGGCTTTCTCAGTTTTTTTTTCTTTTTAAATGAAAGGCATGCAGTTTGCTTATTATTTTTGGACTCGATGGACGAAAAATTTAAAAATATTTTGTCTTCTCTCAGCCACAAAAACAGGATCTAGGTCAGCTTCCATTTGAAAACATTTGCTGTATTTAACCAGGGTTTTATACAGCATTTCAAAGCAGATTTGGTTGCAACAAAGTGTAATATAAAGCATAGATTAATGAGTGGCTGTGGTAGTCACCCAAAAAAAATAGATGGAAATATTTTTGTTGCTTTGCCCCAATTTATTCTTGAATTGTGGTTATGGGGGCCGCCAAACATCATTCCACGGGCCACAAATGGCCCCTGGATCCCAACTTTGAACACCCTCAGTCTAGACAGCAGCAGCAGTGCTTTACAGCAGATGCAGTTTATATTTAGATGTAGAGGAAGCTTCCTGCTGTGACAACTGCTGACATTTTTAACGTCTATTTGATTCAAGTTGTTATACGACCCGCTTTTAAGTGATTGTGAATAAATCTACAGTCGCTTCTGCCCACTTTGAATCGCCTTGGTAGTGATTCTTCAATTATTTTCTCATTTCAAAAACGTTCAAGGTTTTAAAACTGGTTTTTAGACTATTTTGATATTAATAAAAAAAGAGAAAGAAAGAAGGACATTTGGACAAGATGGAGCCTGAGAGCTAAAACAAACTCTATGATGTCCTCAAATAAGAAGAATAAATTTTGAGAAATCTGGGTGAAATAAATCAATTTATTGCGGAGCTGAAAATGAAAGATACGTTTTTCATTTCAATGTGTAGAATTGGGGTAAAGTTGGTGTCCGTAGAATCAAAATATGCAGAATAAAATGGGCAAAATGAGAGTTATTAAGTCTAAAGAGCTACAAGGTGCAGACACTTGAATAAGATTTTTAAATTTGCATCTGAATGAATCACTAGATTTCATTCATCAACAGTAATTTGACAGATAAGGGAGAAGAAAATTAGATTTCTGATCATATTGTGCAGAGCAATGTTTAGAGAAAATCAAACGGGTGGTGGAGGGATAATAATTTGGGCTTCTTTCTTATTCACAGGATCTGAGCAGCTTAAACTCCAAACATGAGAGCAAGTCTGTTCAACATCTACAATTTGACTAGAAATGTGTCCTCAGTGGAAAAATAATCCAAAGTAAAGCAGCAGATCTAAAACAGAAGGGCTGAAAAAGACCAAATCCCCAGCGGCTCAGTTAAAATTCACACCTCAACCCATGTAAAGTACAAAGTTTGATACAAACGTCTTCAAATCTCAATGAATTTAAGTAAAACTGTAAAGAGTGAGACAATGAAAAAGTCAAACAGAAAATGACTTCAGTTCCTGCTGCTGATGCTGGTTCTATAAGCTGCTGAGATATCAGGTGTAATGTTTAGTTTTTTTTTTGTTTGTTTGTTTGTTTTTTTGCATTTCTTTCCAACTTACTAACTACAGCAAATGTTTTGTCAATATAAAAAGTTACTTTCTTTTTTTTAAGCACTTTTTAAACAAAAATGTAGCCCACTTCCGGTCCGTAAATATAAAGGTTGGCGTGGAAAGGTGCAGAAATAAGGCTGGAACTTTTTTCTCTAAATGCATCCATTTTTATTTAGATTCTTGAATCATTTCCTGCTCAGATGATCACTTTTAGGCCTGAACTGTCAATAAATAAACCAACAAATAGCTTTAAAGCAAAAAAAAAAAAAAAAAAAAGGAAAGAAAAAAAAATATTTGAAGTGGTCCCGATCAACAAAAATCTTGAATGACTTGATTAAAAAAAACACTGACAGGAAAGCAATCACAGTACATGATGCTACCACCACCATGCTTAACAGTTTGAACTACGTTTTGAATTTTTCTTGATAAAATCTCTTGAAAATCAAGTATCATTTTCCCTCCAACTCTCGGCATATGAATGCTCTTTTAAGGCTCTGTATCCCTTGCTCTTATTACTGCGTGTTTGCTCAGCTCTGACTAAACTTAACTGGGCTCTGATGCATTGTGAGTAGGTGTGAAACAGGATGCTGCGAGGTGCATGTGTGTGTTTGCATTTGTCATCGCCACCAAGAATACTTTTGAACAACTGTTCAAAGTAACACAAGAAGGGGAGGAGGATTTGGACGCCCATTAGCGCTCGTTGGACTCCTTTAAGTAAGAGAAACACTTGAGAAAGATGGTGGCGTATTTTTGGTGTGGAAGAGAGCAGCTCAGGAGTGAGGTCAAGTGTGTGAGCAACAAGCGTGGAGGGAGGAGAGAGAGCGAGAGAGAGAGAAAGAGTGGAGTGGGAGTGTGGGAGAGTTCGTCAGACTGGTGATGGTCGGGAGGGAAAAACACAAACGCTTTATTCTCAGCTTTTGACTGAGATCCTTCAAGAGAGAGACAGAAAGAGAGGGCGATGCAGGGAGGTTACTGTTAACCTTACTTATTTTGTCAGCGATCTCTGAATGAATGCTGTGTTATGATGGGGACTGTTAGTGAGCTGTGTGCGTCCAGTTTCCAAGCTTTTCTCTGCCCTACTGTACGAGGAGGAGCACCTGCTGCTGCAGCCTCAGGTGAGTACTTTACTTATCTTATCACTGTTGTGACCTGATGTCATTAAAAATTATGTGTTGTAAAAAAAAAAACACAGTGAGATAAAGTAGCTCCATCGTTTAGTTGCTGTGGTGATCGCAGAGCTCTCTATATTTCTGACATTTCTGTGTTCATGTACACACATGAGTCAGTGTGTGTGTCTGTGTGTGTGTGTGAGCTTGATTTGAGAACATGACGCACTCCCATCACATTCTGGTCCAGGATCCTCCTCTCCGGTGGGTGCCGAAGTGACATAATCTCCATCTCTGCCCACTGCTCTCTGCTCCTCGCAGGTGGTTTCTCACAGCGTCGCTCATTCAACAGCAGTTATTTACACTCTAGAAAAAGCTTGGCAGGCACTCACACAGGTTAATTTGATGTGGCTGACAGCTTTTTATAAATACACAGTGTAGCCGAGCCCAGTCATTTCTCCCCTTTTTGTTCCTTATTTTAAAGTCATGGGCCTTAAAACTGTGAGAACAAGTACAAATTTTCAGATAAGCCATTCAAAGCTGCGGGGAGTCTTCACCTCTGGTCGTACTTTCCTGAATACTTGACATATTAGCAGAAATATAGTTCCAGGTAGGAGTGAAGATCATCTGCATAGATGGCAAATTGTATTTTTTTTTCTTTCAATCATATACCTGCCAGTGATGGCCACACTTCCACTAATGCGTTAGTAGCAACAAATTGTTTTATTTAGCACTTTTGGTAACTTTGAAATCATTAAGCACACTTAGCTTCCACTAAATACATTTTTACAAATACATTCTACAGTGTTACATTTTGTAAACGTTTTGTCAACCATTTACAGTTCTTTTAGGATTAGACATTTATATTCACGCTTTTATTTCTTACTTATAACAGTTCCGTTTTCTCTCCTTTTTTCCTTCTCAGTAATTTTTTTTCAAACAACAAACAGTAGCGAAGCAGTAAAAATAAATACAACATGTAAAGGAATTATAGAACATTAAATTGGTGCTATAGTCTTTCAAAGGCAGATTTGAATTGAAGCTTTAGCTTTAGCATTAGCTTCTGCTAAATACCAGGTTGATGAAGCAGAAGTGATGGGTGTGATTTGTGCTTTAGGGTTAGCGCAACTAACATTTTAGTTTTTTCTGGAGCAAACTACCAGAAAACTGCAAAACAGCTGAAACTCTGAGTTCCTTTAAATCAAGACTAAAAACTCACCTGAATTGCTTCTGAACCATAATAAATGAAACATTGACCAACATATTTGTTGTTTAGATTTTGGTGATGACGCTCATCAAAATGTAATGTTTTTTTTTTGAAATTGTTCACTGTAAGGTGTTTTCTTTATGACTTTGTATTTGTAATTTTATGTTTTTGCTGAAATGTGCAATACAAATAAACCTGATTGATTGATTGATTGATAGCTACCCAACTCTGACAACCGCATGTATAAGATTGGTAAAAGGTCCAAAGCAACACTCTCTAGTTCATTTAGGGGATCCATTTTTTTAAGTACTTAAAAAAAAAACATTGATAACACAGCGTATCACTCCAATGGCATTTAAAAACAGTATCTTGATGCACATATTTGACTTTCATTAAGTTCGTATGATCCACATAAGGCCATAATTATGCACATAATTATACACCCCCACTAACATTTGGTTAAATGTCCTTTAGCAAGTTGCAGACCAGCAACACACTTTTTGTAGCTGCTAACAACATTCTGGCATGATTCTGACTCAACATTAGATCACTCTTCTTAGTAGAGTTTCTTTTAAATTTGTGAGTTTCCAGTAAAATTAATACATTTTCAATAAGCTATAGGTCCTTCCTGTTCCAAGAGCCAAATGTTAGCCAGATTTATCCAAACCAATACCAGTGCCAATCTGTGTTTGGGTTCATTAAAACATCCCCACAGCATGATGCTACCACCACCATACCACAACCTCTTGTGCACTTTTCTCAGGTTTGAGTACTCCAAACACGTTTCCCGTTATCATGGACAAATGATTTAATTTTTCATTCGCCTGCCAGTTAAAAATGTCTCTGGAAGGAATTGGGTTTGCCTATCAGGACACTTTCAGTCGGGCCTGAGGGGCTCCTTCCTTGGTCAACACCCTCTGAGTTGGTGTTAATGTTCAAACTGGACAGGAAAACTGCTGTTCCATCATTTCCAGTAGCAAAACCTGGTGGGTCCTGGTATGTTCCTAAACAAAGTGACAGTTTGGTTCAGTTGAGACTTGAACATGGTTGAATTGTTCCAATAGAACAATAAAACTGGTTTTAAATAGGTAAGGCAGGCTGGTATTAAGCATCTAGAATGGACTCAATGCAAATGCTATTCTCCATAAATTTAGGAAATTCAGAAAAATGCCTGTAAGCCGAAATATTAGAATGAGAACTAAAATTTCAGCCAAAAAGAGAAATCCTTGACCATTAGTGTCTATATGTGTAATTTTAATTTTGACTGGATTGAGGAGGATTCAATTCAATATTTTCTGTTTCTGAAAGGATTAGTTGAGAGGAAGAAGATGCAATATCATCAAAGGTTGTGAGGATCAGCATGAAACTAATTAAACATCCTTCAGCCTGACTTTTCAGATTGAAAATATTTATATTCTCTTCCTGTTTACTGAGATAGTCAGACTAAGAGAAACTATCAGATAAAAAAGTTTTTAACCAAGAAGAGAAAAACTTCCATGATTGTAGCTCATTATTAGTCAAATTGTAAAATGATAAAGAGAAAAAAAAATCTCCACCAGGAAGAAAGCAAACCCTAACAGTGAAATAAATAAAGTGTTATGAAAAAAGATTTATTTATTAGTTAAATGAATAACAAAGAGAAGTTAATTATAAATCAAAATGAATAACATTAAAGATAATGTCAGACAAAACATCAACAAAAGTAAAACTTTAAAAATCAAATTAAATTGTTCAAAATGGCAAAACAATCAATTGAAACACTGATTAGTAAAAATATATATATTAATACAAATTCAACAAAATGACTCAAAGTCTGTGCCCTCAGTCAGCTCTTTGTTTTTAAATCTTTGGTTTGTGCAGTTTATAATTAAACCTGAGAATGACTGAGCTGCTGCATGATAAATTAGTTGTAAATAAAATATTTAGTCAAGCAGATGGCATGAGGCCAACCTTTGGATATAGATGCAAAACTCTGTTTATGGAGGGGGGGGGAAAGCACCATTCCTGTGGTTTAACATGATGGTGGCTGCATCATACTGTGGGAATGTGTTTCTTGAGCAATAACAGGAAGGCTGATGGACAGAACAGGGTTATCCTGGAAGAAAAGCTTTCAAATGCAGCAGAAGACTTTTGACTCAGAGAAAATGACTCTAAATATTTATACAGCCAGAGCTTGAATGGTTTAAATCTCTTCTTCAGACGGGAGTCGAACTGAGAGTTAGTGGAAAGTTCTGAAAATCGATTTTCACAGATGCTCTCCACCCAATCTGACTGAGCTTGACCTGTTTGTGCAAATCTGGTAGAAACTTGCCCCACGGACTGCCCCACTTTTCAGATTTCAGTTTGTAAAACAACTGAAACAAGTTTTGCTCCCAGTTCACAATTGTTGTGCTAATCTAACGCTTATAAATCTTCCCAAAACACGAAGTGGTAGTCACAAGATGTGAAAAAGTTAAAAATGTCTGAATACTTATTCAATTAGCTGTGTATTAGGAAGCTGTCTTGATTAAACTGTGAAATTCAGCAGCTTTTTTCCCACCGCCACGCCTGACCACATCCTGTTTTTTGGTGGGTCCAGCCTCTGAATAAAGCAGTGATTCAATCACACAGCTGGAATCCCTTGCCCTCTTTTTCCTCTGTCCTTCACTACACCCTCTCCTCTCCCTTCCCTTTTTGCCCGCTCCCAAACGGTCCATCTCTGATAGCACACCAGCTTCCCCTTAAACTAATGTGTTTCTGTATGCCGCTGCTATTCAGCAGGTGGGGCTGTTATTTCAATTTCCTTTTTTATGTCTATCTTGTGAGCCCTGCTTCCTCTTCCTGCATAAATGTGGAAACAGCGATTTCTCTGCCAGGTATGTTCTCATACGGCTTAATAAGTTGGACAAACCCACAGCCCAAAAGGTTCTTGGAGTACTTTTTAGCATGTAGGCTTTGTTTTTTTTTTTTTTGTTTTTTTTGTCATACCTAGAATAAAAGGTGCAAACAGTTAAAGTCCAAATAAAAAACTCCATAAGATATTTTAAAAGCTTGAAGAAATTGTAACTAAGGCCAGTTTATATAATTTGTAAGATAGTTTGGCTCCTTTAAAGAGAAGATACTATATCAGGAAGGGTTTCCCCAATATAAACAATTAGGCTTGAAATCATACACCTCTCTAGGTGCTTTAATTTCTTGCTTTTTACAAAGATACATCGACTGTGAAGAAAAAAAAAATATTTTACTCACCTATAATAGGTTACGGCACCAAAAAATAGCAGAAAAGAGCAGTTCTCATGCCGCTAATGCTATGTGCCAGACCAATTTATATTAACTCATCATTTAGTCCTCTTCTATAACATTTCAAAAAAGTTGTAGCATTGAGAAAGGGATTGTTGAACCTCCTAGACTGTCTATGGCACTCTCTTCTCTTTAATTTATCCCCAGTTTTTCCATCAGATCTAAGTGTGGGGACTTAGGTGGCCATGGGAAGCTTTTTCTGTGTTGAATTGATCTTTTTTTTTTACACTCCTAATCTGGTTGAAAGATCCAATAGCGACTCATTTTATGCCTAGAAGTGGAGTGCATCAACTTTGAATTTAAAATGTCCTGATATTTCAAGCTGCTCATCAGTGTTCACCTATATTTACCAGTTAAGTAACTTCTTAAGGTTGCACGGATTTTATTTATGGGTATCAGAGTAAAAGAGAATTAAAAGGTTTAACGTGACAAAGTGCAAAGGACTTCCAAGAGGTAATACTTTTACAGGAGACTATTAATACATAAAACAAAGACGGATGCTACGGGGTCAAACAAAACGCAG